ACCGAGCATTGGTGCCTGCTCGAGTGGGCTCGCTGCCACGGCTCTTGAGGATGCTTCTTCATTTTTCCACGGGCTGACATGGCAATCAAAGTTCAAATGTTTGAAAGGACCCCATAACTCTATAATATAAATTTTCATGATCTTTGCCGACATGGCAATCAAAGTTCAAATGTTTGAAAGGACCCCATAACTCTATAATAATAGATTTATAAAAATTATCACATTTGAGTTGGTGATGATTCGATATCGCCAGGACAGTTGAATTCATCTCAAAAGCGAAAATGTTCGCATGGGTCTATTCAATTGGCGCGTGATTTAGAATCTGTTCAGCCGCGCTGAGAGGTTGGCAACTAAGTCTTTGCGATCTGCTTTTGCCCCTCGGATGTCCTTTTCTTCACCTGCTTCGAACACCCGCCGATAAGTATAATCCTATGTATATAAATGGTATTTGTATCCATACAAATGCCAAGTATAAATTAAATCTTTATTTTATTTGGTTCGTTCAGGACCAACTGATCAATTCAAGGTATTTGATTCGAGACCAAGTCATTTTGGAAATTATTCAGCGGCGGCGCTGCAACTCTCTCAACTGTCTTTCACAGAGTCTTTAGGTATGAACGTTGCAGAAGATTATTGATGACCTTGTATTCTTTGCAACCCACCATACAAGAGAGATCATCCACTCTCTTGTATGGTGGGTGGGTTGCAAAGAATACACTTTGGAAATCCTTGCGTTTTTGATTTCGTGCGCTATTTGACGTTTTAAGAAAAGTGCGTGTTTTATGCACATATTTGACGCCATGTAATAAATGACAATTCCGGTTTCGACAAAGGCCCGACGCGGCGTTGCCACTTGCAACTACGCATGCCAGGCCAAGCGTCGACGTCATGGATCGAAAGCGCCGACTTGGTGAGTCGCTTCAAGGCGCTGTATGTATCCAACCCAAAGGCAGGAACGCCGGTGTCGGTTGGCGTTGCTTCAATCCCTGCAACAGTGACGGCCCGCTTGACCAAGGCAGGACTGTCCTTTCACATACTTCCACCGCTGTTGCAGCAAGCCGTGCTGTGGGACATGGGTTTCGTAGTCGGCGAGGTGAATGGAGTGGACTCGTTCATGCAGGTGTTAGTGGCTGCCAACTCGACCATGTCGTCCATTGCGTACACGTTTGCAGAGTATGAAAACTCGACTGCAGCTAAAGGACTGGAGCAAACGACGTGCTCATTCAACGGAGGCATGTCGTATCGACGACAAAAGGTCATGGATGGTAATGCACTCGCGCTAACGCTCAAGTGCGCAGTCGAATTGGTATCCGTGGATGGACAGTCGTCGATGTTAGCCCAAGACGCAACCGATCCCACTACTTTTATCCCCGCGCCACGACTTTACAAGCACCAGGACCCCACCCAGGGATGGACGCACCCTGCCATTCACTTTTTTCAAAAAACCGCCCAAGGCACGTCGGGAGAAGCAGGGTGGGGTGAATGTCCCAAAGACGCTGCCCACCAAGCACTCATCATTCCGTGCGAGACGAAATTCTTCTCCGCCAAGTCGGCCAACACGTTCATCCCGCTTATGAGCTCTGTCATGAACTCGTGGCTGCAAGAGTTCAAAGATGCCAACCCCAGCATTACTCCTGACCCGACACCATCTCCACCCCCACCTGAGAGTACGTCCCAATTATGCGATTCAGGTGTCAACTTCTGCTGCTTTGTCAGATGTAGGCTTGATTGTCGGGGTCGCCGGTGGGGTGTTTGGCCTCGTTGTTGCGATTTTGATCTGCTTGTTGTGGTGGCGCCGCCGCCAGCGCCACCGGAATCTGCACACGGCCTGCGCAGTTGAGGCAGGGAATGGCCATTCGACTGGCACCTATGATCACCTCTCAACGCCGCACTATCCGCGCAGTGGCTCCACATCGACCAAGACTGCTCGAAACGCCACTATGAACACGTCCAGTGAAGGCCACCGCCATCACCACCGCGCGTCGTCGATCGCGCTGGATGGCATAAACCTGAGCGGGATTTCTCTGTATCGAATTGATGAAGATGACGTGATCATTCAACGTCCGCTCGGGTCGGGAGCGTTTGCCGACGTCATGTTGGGCGAGTACAAGGGCCGAGAAGTGGCCGTGAAGCGCCTTCTTCCTGGTCGAGCGACAGCTCGCGAAGTTCAGGGGCTCATCGATGAAATCGTGCTCTTGGCAGGGTTCTCGTCGCCGTACGTGGTGGAGTTTGTCGGTGCGATGTGGAACAAACCCATTGACTTGGCGTGCGTGATTGAATTCATGGACTTGGGAGATCTCCGCGACTACTTGACCTATCAAAGCCCTGCCGAATTTCCATGGCAAGAAAAGCTGAATTGCATTTACAACATCGTGGAGGGCCTCGTGTACTTGCATTCGTTTCCGATCATCCATCGTGATTTGAAAAGCCGCAACGTTTTGCTCGACTCGACCAACGGTACCAAGCTGACCGACTTTGGCGTGTCGAGAGAGCAGAGCCAGGACACGATGACAAACGGTGTCGGCACAGGACGGTGGATGGCGCCCGAGATCCTCAAGTACAACCACTACACAGTCGCGGCCGATATCTTTTCGTTTGGCATGATCCTGTCCGAGTTTTCAACCCACCAATTGCCGTACTCGGACCGGGTGAACCCGTACGACGGGAAGCCCCTCATCGACACGGCCATCATGGCGATGGTGATATCCGATCAAATCAAACCCACGTTTGCCGACGACATGCCCCCGTTTCTAAAGGACATGGCGATGCAGTGCATTGCCCACGAGCCGACCGCTCGACCGTCGGCCGCCATGCTGTCGTATAGTCTGCGCAAGCACATGAACGTTGACTTGTAATTTCTTTGTTGTGGCACATTTGAGATGATTTTGTGTTAATCAAATTATGGCCTTTTAGTACCTCGTTGTTGTCGGCCACTTTCCAGTTCGCACATTTTTGCCAATTATTTTGGAATATGTTCAGTCCGAAATTCATTTATATATCCTTAAATAATGAACCGCCGGCTGTTGCCAAAAGCGTTTCGTGACGTCGGGCGTGTACTTCAAATTTTCGTCGACTTGAAAATATGTGGGCAAGCTGCAGCACAGCGGCGGTTTCCTATCGAAGGGTTATTGTACTGCCAAAATGTCCCTTTGCTTGATGCCCGTAACAGACCCACCTTTGATCGTGGCATCACTCGAAACCTTTGATGCTTGATGGTCGCTGAATGGGTGCGATAAAATTTTTAGACAATGAAAGACAACGCGTTCGAAACGTCTGATAACGTGCAGTTCGAACAGTCACACAAAGATCCCCGGATAGAAAGGCCAGCGGACGTAAGGAGCGAGAGGACCGCTCGGGCCACGCATCGCGCCTCAAGGAGGAATTTGAAGCAAATTCGAATGCTGGATCGGTCTCGAACAACAAAGTGCCGGCTGCCGTGACCGCAGCTGCAGAAACCCCCCAATCCACCTTCGCCAAGCTGTGTTGAGGGAAAAGGGATGGGTGAGAGAAGACAACAAAGTCGACATATTCATGCAGGTGCTCATGCCCGAGAACACATCGATGCTTTGATTGCCCTCGAGCCGGCAACCGTTGATGCGTCCGTCGCTCGCCACTCCATGGTGCATACGGCGTAAATGTTTGTCCGCAATCAACAGACACAGCGTTGGCGCCAATCTTGAAATGTGCCGTGAAACTGGTTTGTGTTCATGCACAGAAGAATCTGCTCCCTTACGATGCGTGGAGCTCACCGATGGTACCAGTTGCTCCGACATTCAAAACTGCCAACATAACATCCTACTCGGATGGGAATGGCACCACCACCAGTACGCCCAAATTTCGCAATTGGGCTTCCACGGCAGGCTGATGACGTCAAGTTTGTAGACTTGATTCCTCTCTTTGGTAGCATGCATTGGGGCGCTTGTCATTCGGTGTGGCGTAAAGTGGAGCGTCCTCCAACGGCACCACGAGAGCAACCAAGATGTTGCTCCGACGGCCGAGGAACAGGCCAACGTTTCAACGGCCCAACCACGCATTTGGCGTCAGGGAAGTACTCTGTGGAATCGAAAGAAATCACGTTTAAGCAAAGCCATGCCAGCAATATCATGAACCCCATTTTCGCCGAACGAATCGACCAAAATGAAGTATTCGTTGTGCGTGTGGTGGGGTCAGGGGCGCTTCCAACGAAGAGAGGGAATCGAGTGGATGTATAGCAGTTGCTGCCGGGTAGGGCGACAGGGCATCAAGTTCCAGCTCTCGTCAACGAGATCATCCTACTCGCAGGGCTCAGTCGCCATGCATTGTCGAGTACGTTGGAGCGATGTGGAACAATCCCGTCGAGTTGATGTGCGTGATGGAATTCAAGGACATGGGATCTGTGCTGTTTCGTCGCGAATCACAGGCCGACCCAGACCATGCCAGAGTGCATCTACCTCATCGTGGAGGGCCTCGTGACCTTACATATGTCCCTGAGCTTCCATCGCGACGTGAAGAGCCGCAACATTTTGCTCGACTCCCCAACTTCACCAAGCTGACCGACGTTGGCGTGTCGAGAGAGCAGAGACACGACACCATGACGAAGGTTGTCGGCACAGGACGGTGGATGGCGTCCGAGATCCACAACCACTATACAGTCGCGGCCGACATCTTTTCCTTTGATGTAATCCTGCCGCGTTTTCAACCCGCCGACTGCCGTATTCGGACCGGTTGACCCCATACGACGGTAAGCCCCTCGTCAGCACTGTTCTCCTGGCCATGGTTGTGTCGGGACAATTCGACCGAGCTTTTCGTTTGACATGGCTGGCTTTCTCAAAAACGTGGCGTGGTTCGATGTCGGGCTTGCCGTACAACCTACCCAAGAAATCCATCAAAACCGACCTTGTACAGGGGGGGTTGCTATGACGTCGGTATCACGTGAATTGAATGTTGTAGTGCCCAACTCCATCGTTGTCGTGCGAAGCTGATTCCTCGAGGTTGGTCTGCCAAGCGAATGTTTCACGTAAAACGAAATGTCACCAATGGTTGCGATGTCATGTGGCTAACACGAGATGGGGAACTAGCGGCAACTCGAAATTCTGAAACGCTTGAACTGGCCAACGCGACTTGGGACCGACCAGTGCCGACGATGCCGCCCCAGCCGCTCAAGACAAAACCCAGGGCGCCGAAAGCGAGTCACTACCTTGGCGGAAGCAACAACCTCCTGCATGAACGCAAGCGCCGAGAGGCCGCGGAACGCCAAGCAAAGCAAGCTGGCGTGAACTTGCAAACGTTGACAGTAGATCTTGTGCCCAAAGTGAACGAGCTAGCCGCTGCCGTCGAGGTTCGTGGAGGCATCGTTCTTCACCACGACGCTGGCATGACACGTGATCGATCGACTACCTTGTCGTTCAGGTGCTCCAGCTCGAAAACTCGCAGCAGCTCCACTTGGAAGAATTGTCCCAAGACACATTTCTAAACCTCCAGCACCAGCTCGAAGCCCTTCGGCAACAGCAACTCGACATGCAAGTCAAGCTGCACAAGACAATGGACGCCAAACTCGAACGCGCGCAGCATGAGATTCGACAAGACCACGCAGTAAGACGCCATCACAACCTCTGGAAATCGTAATGTGGATGTCCAGGTCGTCGTGGCCACTGTCGATAATATCAAGATCGAAGTCGAGGCGATGAAGGAGCAAATGGCCATCCTTCGAGGCGAGGTTCGACGGCGTCACTCTCACTGCACCCCCCTGCACGTACACGGTTAGATGGACTCTCTTCGCACAGCTGCCAATGCAAAATTGAGCCAAACCCAAGCGCTTTTGGACAGCATTCGAGATCAAGGCCACAAGGACAATGAGCTCACGACCCACGTCCGTGACCTACGGAGCTTGTGCTCGTATCCCAAAACTCACTGGCACATTTAGTCGCTGCAAGACCTGGAATTCAAGATCGGCGATCTCGATGCGAAGCTCTTCGCGCTGGAAAAAGAGCAGCTCAAGTTACGGCTGTCTCTTCCGCCGTCCGTTGCGGCGCGAACCTGCTTCGACTCTTCCACAACACCTCCTTACACTGCCGACGCTACCAACACACACCAATGTAGCTCGAATGGCGGCGCCATGCAGCACCAACGTTTAGAGCAATTGCATTTGGAGATGGAAGCAATGTACCAATGCACATTTTTCACGTCGCGATGTTAGCTGAAGAGCTGATAGGGTTCACGACATGGCTACTCAGCGCGGCGCCGACCGCTTGCAGTTCGAAGCCATCTCAAATCGCATGCGGGAAATGGCCAAGGTCCACAATCACAAGCACGACGTTGTCCTGGTCGAGCTCCAAGACATGCACGATCAGCTGACCCAGGTAGCGAGCAGCGTCCTGTACCCACCAGTGTCCGACTAAAGCCAGGCACCACGGACAGGTTTCGACCAAGTGCCCCGTTGAAATCTCGCAACGAATGGAAGCACTGCGTCAAACGTGGGAGGCAGACATCTCCTCCCTCAAGTTGGCAGCAAAATCATGGGCTGCAACAGCACGCATTCCCCAGGAGGTACGTTCCATGGATGGATGGCGATCTTGGCTCAAGAAGGAGGACTGACCAGACGAGAGGGCCGGACACCACGGAAGTGAAGGAGCTCGTTCTCGCTTTGCAAGCTCGCATGGAAATCGCAGAGATAAAGATGGGCAAGTTGTCCACTGCTGTGCATTCCCATCATATTGGGGCTGGCACCCAGGTACGTTCCCCCGACAAAGGACGAAGTGTCCTGACTCCCACAGTGCAGTTGGTGAAGGTACAAAAGGATGTGGGCCGGGTGCAAGAGCACGTGACCCGATCGCAGCAGGTTGTCATGAAGCAGCTCGTCCACTTTCACGACGTGCTAGCTGGTACGTGTGATCCCGGTCATCGTCGTGACAAATCTGACCACGGTCGTAGAACTCCGTCGAGTTGTCGAGGCGTCAAATTGAGGCCCAAGACCCCTACAACGACTCTGCGGGGGATGAGAACAGCTTGGCAGTGCCGTTGGGTCGTTCGATATCGAGTGATACAGGTCAAACATGCCATGATGCATCTATAATTAGCGGTGGCGGGCGGCGCTGCTGTCGTCGGCGCCGACATGTTGGTTCTTAACCTTCGGGGGATTGCAAATGGTCGGGTTGAAGTTGTGCGACGGGGCCAAGCGACGAGGCGAAAAAACGAGAAAAAAAAATGGGTGCAACGAGCTAGCCAATCCCATCGATTGATCTTTTCCTCTCGAGTTTTGATTGGCTCATGGAGTGACCTGGTCCCATGGACAAAAATGTATTGTTGCCGTGCCTATAAATACGCTGGAGGCGACCAGAGTCGTTTTTTTTCGGATTTTTTTTAGAACCAAGCACGGTGCCCATCTCGGGAGAAACACCCCATGGCATACAAACTCCAAGTCACCGAATGGTGAACGCGGCGGAAGTTAAAAAACGAACCCACACACCGTCGCCCGCACCGCAAAAAACGGACGCCGCCACGATGGCATTTCCGATTTTGCCGCGACGGGAGCGCGCTGTGTTGGGAAACCAAGGAGAAGATGGACTTGGCCATTCGCGTGAACGTGCGGTATGCAGCGCCACCTAACTCACACATCAAAGATGCGCTGCGGCTGTTCAAGAGCCCACGGTGGGTTCAAAGCATCATCCGGTACATCATGCCACAGCTCAACAGTGTCTCGCCAGCGTCGGCTGCTTGCGTTGACGCACTCAAGAACAATGTTGCACCGGTGTCGTGTGGGGACGCGTGTGTCGTGTGCATGGATAGCTTTGACAACGACTGCGTCGAACTCCCATGCCGTCACAAGTTCCACATGCCATGCATTGACCCTTGGTTGAAGCTCCACAGCACGTGTCCCACGTGCCGGTATCAATTGCCCACCGATGCCTTTAGCAACTACAGCGTGTACGCCATCAACACCACAATCATCCTGCAGCAATCTCAAGCGAGCATGCCAACCGCGCAACTTTTAGAACTTCCTGCAAGCAACCAAATCATCCGAGCTGTTGTGAACGCGCGAGTCCGACGCAACCCACCGACATGTAGCTCTTCCTCGACATCGGCGTCTCTGTCTACGACCACAGCGGCCTACTGCAGCGGTCTCTCAACGACGATGCCACCTGTCATGAATGCCCGCATCCTCCAGCACGACCACATGGCAGACCTGGACACGTTCGACTCGTTGGACAACCAATTGCACGAATGTCTACCAACACAACGCATGCCCACGAGGCATCGTCGTGACAGTTCGCAGATGCCCCTCTTGCAGCAGTCGCCGGCGCCACCGCTTACCCGACGTCGATGTCGCGAAGTTGCTGCCAGCACCGGCAACAAACGGGCTCGGCTCGCGACATCTCCGCCCGCAGAAATCATAGCGTCGTCCGTGTAGCCGTCGCCGCATGTCCATCTTCTCTAGCACACAGTTCAAGCCATCCTCCCGCCACAGTCTCGATTTTAATTTATCCAGCGAAGTTACTCTACAATCGGTCACTTCATGACACGCATGGCGAGCTCGTGCAAGTCCCATGCACCTTCGCATGCCATTGAAGGGGGATGGTCCTTAAGCCATGTCGAACACGCTGCCAGTTGGGATGTTGCCGCCATCGCTGTTGGTTGAACCAGCGCCATCGCGCTCACGATGTGCAACAGCATCAGATACATATCTGAGGCCCGAGCATCCACGTCGGCATTGTTCACCACAACGTGGCGCCACGAAAGAATGGCGAGGGATTGCCACATTGGCAGCGCCTTGACGAAGAGCCGATGGCAGGCTGAAGAAGGTGTAGCCAGAAGCAGCACGTTCAGACAGATGCCGAGGCACATGGTGAGAGTCCCAACACCTTCGCCCAAGTCGCCATGAGCACTCGACGCTGTCGACTCGGCGACCATGCGAGTGCAAACGACTCCAGTGAATTGCAAGATCTTCTGCAGCACTGCATCGTCGGTTGCAACGGCAGTGGCTCCACCATCCGTCGCAGTAAGTTGCAGGAGCCCTGGGAGCAGGAACTGCATGACGTCCGTCCCAGTTGCAAGGCTAGGCGCCGATGACTCGTCGTCCACTTCGTCGTCCGAGTCCCATGGCTCTTCGACGTTTGACATGGGATACACCGGCATGCTCGAAGTGGGCGAATACGTGACCAGGAACGGAACCAACGCGACGAGTTGGTCCGTGAGCAAGTCTGTCTCTTCGGCCATCCACGCCCCCAGCACGCGAATGGTGGCGAGAACGATGGGATCGAGGTCTTTCATGGAAAAAGTCAAGTGCGAACTGCGCAACGCGTCGCGGCATGTCGTGATGAATTCGATCACGACTGTGAACACTTGACCCAAGACCTCCTTGAGCTGAAGTAGAGTCGTGTGCGACAGCGCCGACGCATTCTCTTCGACCATGAGGCCACCCAAGATCGATTCGAGGATGCCGTAGGATGCTGGAAGGAGACTGTGCACGCGTTGAAGTACCTTGACTTCATCTGCTTCAGGTGGAGTGGGGGTCACGATGTGGTCGATCAAGATTCGTTCGGCATCGTCCAAGAGCAGCTTGGCCTCGATGGCGGCCAGCTGGAGCGACACGAGTACCCAAGGCAGTTCCGAGTGAAAGAGCCAATTGCTGCCGCAATACGACAACAACAGAGCAAGGAGCTGCAGCGAGCTATCTCGTCGGGCGCCATCGTCGTGAACATGCGCAGGCCACGTGCCAAATAGACCACGGGCGAGCAGAACAACGTTTGAAGCGATTGTCGAAGGACTGTGCGATTCCAACGTTGCGATAAAGTAGTCTTGTAGACGGGCTTTGCCAGTAGAAGGAGTGGAAATGGCAGCAAATGAGGCGCAAAGTGAGGTGAGCGCATCGGCGGACACTTCCGGACTCGCTTGAAGCACAGACAACAGAGGGCACAGCATTGGATCGGAGTCCGTATTCGACACGCAGCAGAGATGTATTTGTTGGACCAACGTGGCTTTCCACGTTGCATTCATTTTAAGGGCCTAGGGATGTGGATGAGAGGATGCCAAAGGAGGTGGTGATGGCGGCGTACGTCAAACGGGAGCAATCCGTGGAGTATGTGGACGCAATCTTGCAGCACGGCAGCGTTGCCGGTTGACACAGCTGCAGGAATAACGTCGAGAACGACTGTAATCACTGCCGTAGTCGCGAATTCACGGGCCAGCGACGTGTCTTGGCAAAAGCTGCAATGGATGCGATGGATGAGATGCCAATTTGAACATGGAAGGAGGTGTTCGGGATACCTGGAGATTAAGTTGAGTGCCAGCGATTGAAACGGAGACACTCGAGCGTCTGTCTCAACATTGTCGGCACATCCACCCCTTCCTTGCGTTTGGAGCAATCGCACAAAGAAGGACACGCCGGTTGTGTCCAATACAGCTTTGCGAATACGTCGCAGGGCCGCTTCATCCTCGCACTGGAGGTGCTTCGCGACCATCAAGAGACCAGCAAACTTGTGTTCGTCGGTCTTGCCCGCCAAGATCGCAAGGCACTGCGCCAACTTCGGGTCGTCCGCTTCCTCGATTGTAGCTACCCCCATGATGCTGTGATTTGAATTTGTTGGTGCGGGAAATACAAAAACACAACAATATTAAAATACATCGTCTCATTGTATACAATAATACTGTATCGGTGTCCAACTTCAATCCAAATTTAAAATGGATTTTAAAATATACCCAATCTTTTTCGGCATCATCAAGTCCGACGTGACCTTGGATGCCGCGGTCGAGTCGGCAATGTCGATCGTTTTCCGACTCGTCCGGTGTTTCTCCGCGAGATGCTTCCTATACAATGCCTGCGACAGGCGGCACAGCGCCTCGATGAACAGAGGAAGCACCATCGACGATGGAAACGTCAACCGTCATGTCAATGCATCGTGACCGCCGCCATGACCCTCGCTACGCCATGTCACTTCTTTGGTCAGGCCTGGGTCCATGACGCTGCAAGGATTCGTTGGCTGACAGGTAGTCGATGTGCACGGTCGCCGTCTCGCCCGCAGGCACGCCGGTCGTTCTCATGGCATCGTGTCCAACATCGGTCCGCTCCGCATCGCAATCCATACACCAAGCGGGCAATGTCTAGACCCCCGTCCAGCAACGATGACATGCGTTGTCAATGTAACTCCGTCGCGGCGTTTCGTGTGTCTCATTATTCGAAACTCCCCGAGAAAGGTGGCGGCCGCGAATCCGCCCCAGCGATGGATATATCACGCATCAGCCAGCTCGGAAAGCTCTTTAGGAAGAAGAAAGGTTTGGACCTACGGCCGCAGTCTGTATACGACCTGCAAAAGTACGCCCGTTTGCGATGTGTTGCTGTGCAGTCGTGATATGATTCCCCAGATTCCGCGATACGTACCTCGCAGCTGCAGCACGGCGCCATGTATCCCCGCCCCCTTGCATCGACAAGGTCCGTTTATCGCCGCCGCCGTCGACCTGTTTGACTCGATATGCATCCTCCGATGACTCGTAGATGATTTACAAAGCCATCTCGACGCAAAAAGACATCACGACGATGGATTTTCGAGAAGAGCGCATCACGGACGACCACGTGCTCGCCCTCGTCGAGACGTTGCTCGCGATGCCCCTGGTGTCTTCGCTCGACTTGCGTGACAATATGATCACTGAAAAGGTACCCATCGCATGGATGTTTCAGGCCGTTCTCAAAGGCCCCAGGGCGTGCGCGGCATCCTCGAGCTCATGCGCCACCAATTGGTCCTGGTCAAGGGAGCGCCAGGGTCGCCACCTGCGTCGCCACTTCACGATCCGGTGCACATGCTTCCACTGAGCCCTGCCTGACATTGCGAGCTGTAGCTTCCAGATCACACTCGTTTTCTGACGAGTGTGCAGCTCAAAGGCAACGACGTGCCGGACGCACTCGTCCAGCAAATTCGTCAGGTAACGAGCTCGCATCAGGACGTGCTCGTGATGCCCCATGCATCGTGTAGTACATGACCGTGCTGAGTCGTGAAGACAAGAGACTCGAAATTCAAGCCGTGCTCGTCCAAATCGACTACAACGAATCGGGGGGAGTGGACGAGGGCGAGCTCCGTGTGGCGCTCAAACTTTGCGGTGGCGAAGAGCCCACGAAGAAAGATCTGGCGTACTTTTCTGACCAGCTGAACGCCATGACGTGGCAAGCGGACGGTGGCTTCAACGCCCGGTCGTGCCTCGAGACCCTACTCCTGGCCAAGTATGCCAAGTCGCCGTCCAAGAAAGACACGGCGGGGATGCCGCCGTGGGATTCCCTCGTCCAGATCCGACACGCCGAGCTGGTGAAACCCAACGGCCCACCGATCGAGACGTCCGTAGCTCGAACTGCGCCGTCGAAACCGGAGAGTCCTGTTGAAGCAAGTTCGCCAAAGCCTGCGGACGACCCGTCGTCTGCTGCGTCGAGTCCAGAAGTCCGACGCCGCAGTTCGCCAAACTTGAAGTCGCTGTTGCAAGAAACTATCCTGACGGATCGAGAGGACGAAGATGGAATACCAATGGATACAAAAGACGTTTTGCACGACGAGCCAGTTGTGGACGACGGCCCATGCGCCCCATTTGAGGACAATGCGCTGGAGGTGGGAGGCGCATCCGTCGACGGCGGCGAGGTCGCTTGCTACGACGATGAAGAGCAGCTTGAGACAAACGATGCAACTCCCGTCGATCAAGAGAAGTTTGAGGAGAAACGAAACGAGGACTCTGTCGAGCAATACGTGGACAATCCTGTGGACTTTATGGACGATTCGACACCGGCCAAGTCAGTGGCGTTCGCTTTCGATGACGAGCCAAACAGCTTGGTCGACACGGACGGCCCACTTGTGGTCACGGAAACTCCGTCGCAAGTTGCCGAGCAAGACGTGGATGACATGGTGCTGGCTGAAGAGTGTCTTGCGAGCGATGTCGTCGTGCTGCAGCACACTCGGTAGGCCGTTCTTGTGCGTGGAGCTCTCTGCCATGGACGAAATGTTTGCTGCAGGACGGCGGCGAAACTCAAGCACAACGAGATCCGAACAGGGATGTCGTTGTCGCGGGCATTCGACTCGATCGACTTTGTCAACGTCGTGGCGTTGATATTGTCGCACAACTTGCTCGAGTCGGTCGCGTTTTTGAGAGCGGTGCGTGAGCGTCACCGCGACACACGGGGGTTGAGTTGGTCATGCGGATATCTCGTGTAGATGGAGCCGATGCGGGCACTGCGGGTGCTAGACCTGTCCAACAACGCGCTCGCGAAACTTTCTGCCACCGACATGGTGGGCATCCGCAACGTCGAGGTAATTGGAATCGTACGAACTATGCCGTGAAGAATGCGAATCCATCCCTAGGTCCTCGATTTGTCCAAGAATCAATTCAAGTCGATTTGCGGCATCGAGCACATGACGAGGCTGCGAGCGTTGAGTTTCGAAGGCAACAGCATTCGTTGTGCCAAGAACCTCGAGTGTCTCGAGCGATTGGAGGTTGGTCGATTCATGGGGTGGCTGCTCATGTCGTTGGATTAGATTTTGAACCTGTCGCACAATGCCATCATGGTGCCGCAGTCGCTTCGATTGCTATCGATGAACAAGGTGAGGTCCAGCGTTGACCCAGGCTAGTTTAACTGCGCATTGCAGAACTTGACGCACCTGAACATTGACGAAAACCCGGTCGTCAGTCAGGGACAACATCGCAAGAACAGCGCGCACATCCTCAACATCATCCCAACCCTGCGTTCGCTCGGGTGCATCCACTTGGCATCGCTGATTGTCAAAGATAAGAAGAAACTCCCGCCCGAAGGCGGACTGGCGTCGGCTTCCCCCAAGAAATCCATCTTTGACTTTCTCCAACACCCGCGGCCATGGGTAGACTCTGCGTGCGACTTGCTCGGACTCGTCTGCGATGCCCCTCGTGTACGGCAATGTGATTGTGCGAGCGACGCATTCACACAATCGATAGGACGTGCTGGTGCCTCCAGCGCCAAAGGTGTCTCGCGCTCACCAAAAGAATAAGGACGAACAGCGCAGCAAGGCCCCCGTGCATCACGTGGCGCCGAAAGTCCCGCCCCCGAGCTCACCAAAACCCCCTACTGCCAAATCGACCGTGTCGTTTTCCAGCCAACAGAAAAAAGCCATTGCGCTCAGTACACCACGTCCGCTTGCTGCGAACGCCAAAGGACCGCCCTCCGTACTCTGTCATCCTCCTCGACCGACTCGGGTTGTGACAGACGTGAAGGTGAACGTGGCTGCCGTCCCTTTGACAAAAAACTTTCTCCAACCGACTAAAGCATCGCTGTACAACGTCGCCGAGCAGAAACAAGCTCGGGAGAAAGCCAAGGCAAAGAAAAAGAAACCACCCAACGCGCTGTACAAGCGCCTCAAACGACGAGGTACGTCGTGAGCACGGCCCGTTGGCTCTCGATGGCGTTTTCCAACACGAATGACGTAGAAAACCAACTTCGACACGTCGTGGCTACGTCCCCCGTCAAGCTCGTGCTGGCGGAGACCCAGATCGTCGAGTCGCCTCCCCCAGCACCAACAATCTGCATCCTCAACCATCCAACTGCACAGGTGATGGACATTCTCACGTCATCGCCGGTCAGGCCAGGACCGATCGCTGTCACATCCACAGACAAGTTTTTGGCCCAGATTCGCTTGAATGAGTTTATCACGTTGGTCACCGAAGCCCATGTGACTGCCAGCACCGCTTTGGATGTTCTCCTCGGGCTCTGCGAACGGTCTCGGGACATGGGGCGATTCACAACGTACACAGCTAATTTGGTACGTGCCAACAAGCCCATCGAGTTCATCTCAATCTGCAACCCAGGAATCGCTCGATATTTTCGCGGATGTTGTGATCTCTCCGTCGACACAAGCTGTGCTCGACACGGCCATGGTGGAATCGCCGACGCAACCGCTACCTATCGTGGCCTTGCTTCACGAGCTACAACTCGTCAAACAAACGCTAAAGACCCTGGTGCACCATGTGACTACCTCGACGGCAACGCTCGGGTCGACGGAACTGCGCAGCATGTGCGCCACAATTCGAGCGGGTCAGCTTGGCCATCTTCTGCCGCAGTCCCTCCCAGTCCATGACAAGACGGATCCCCCACCGTCGATCGATCTGTCGATACGTTCTTCACCGACAATCGCAACGTCCCTCGATTTGTTGTCACCGGTACACAGCGCGGAGGTCCTGGCTGAGAAGAGCCCCGTCGATGCGGCGTTTGGCTTGGATGAACGTGAGAATGACGACGATTTCCTCGCCGATGCGGCGACTGTGCTGGCATCACCGAACAAAACGGAAATTTCACCTGTGGACGGTCCAGCAGCTGCACCAAAGGAAACAATTCTTTCAGCCATCCACGATTCACTTGCATGGAATTCCGCCGACGACAGGACGTGTACATTCGGTCCACTGCCTTCGCCGTCTACGGCGCTGGACGATGGCGCTGCGACTGACGTTTTTACCTTCGAAGATGACCCTTCTGTTGAAGATACACTGGAGCAAGCACCGCCTACAGCTCCATCCCACCGCTCAGAGAGTGAAGTTTCCGATGCCATTGATCTGGACGGCGACGCAATCCGTGCTCCTAGCCCCGCATTGGACGACTCTGAAACACAAGTCGTTCAAGGCGATGCTGCCGAGCCAACAACGGTGGAAGAGGATCAAGCTGACGACGGCGAGGAGGCAGTCGACCCTGGCGACGCTGGCTTGGACGTCGACGACGGCGATCGTTCAGTCGAAATGGATGGGAATGCCGACATTGAAGTGGAATACGAAGAGGAAGACGACGAGGAAGAGGAGGCGCTGACGTTTGGAGATTGGGAGCAAGGGTTCGATGAAGCGTCGAATCACCATTATTGGTTCAACAATGTCACCGAGGAAAGTTCGTGGACGCCACCGGAAGGATGGCCGCATCCTTTGGTCGTGCAAGAGGTCGCGGCGGACCACGATGGCGACGAGATGGTTGACAATGGCGAGGTAGCCGCTGCTGAAGATGCCGAGGAGCCGGGCGATGGAGCGGCTCACGACGAAGCCGACGATGCGGAGATGTCCCTCGAAGCGCGCATTGCCATGGCGCTGGGGGACGGCTCCACGTCTCCTGCTGGCGACAACGACGACGACGATTTTGATTTTGACGACGATGCGTTGCCAGACTTGTAAAATGTTAAGGATGGTGGTGGTGGTATCGTTTCGGAAGGGATCGTAACGGGACAACGTAACGTCGAGAGACCATTTCAATTATGCCGCATGAAGCGAGGACGGGTCAAAACCGAGCTCGGAAGCGTCCGTGCAGCTCGCGCGCCCCCCAAGCCACGACACATCAACAACCAAGCTGCTTCAAACACTTGCGACGCACCCGACGACATTGACGCGATCCTGATCCATCAACTCCCGGGCACGTTGGACTTGCGTCCCCACGCGGCGTGGGTGACAGATCACGTGCTCGTCGAGCTGGCCATCGCCATCTTGCAGCGGAAAACCACCATCACGCACTTACGAATCGCTGGGTGCCATGCCTTTTCAGCTGTACGCCACGAGAACGTGGTGTGTTGATCGAGAAGGACTGGGTTCATGGTGGGGCGTCTGTCGTAGGTTGGCATGCGGTCGCTCGTTCATGCGATCGGCCCTCACCTCAAATCGCTCGACTATTCGGCGTCAACAGTCAAGCGTGACGTGCTCAAGGTGCTCGTGACGCGGCTGGAAGACTTGCGTGAGCTCGACTTTTCGTCGTGCGCGACGCTGTCGAGCGAAATCCTGCGGGATTTCATGCCCTGTTGTAACCACACGCTGGAAAAGTGCAATCTCGCCAACTGCAACCTTGTCAACGACGAGGGTAATGGCCGTCCCACGTTCATCCTTCTGGACATTCCAACTCATTCCTGGCCATCCACGGCAGCGTTGTGCTGGCTTGCTGGCTCCTTAGGCGTACAAGGCGGTCTCACACAATGCGCCAACCTCAAATCTCTCAATTTGGCGCATTCCACTCTCGTGGGGGATCGAGGGGTGGCAGCCCTTGGTTGCGGGTGTGCCGCGCTGCAGTTCGTCAACTTGGAAGGGCTCATCAACGTCACCGACGCCGGGATGGTGAAGTTTGTGGCGGGTTGTCGGTCGCTGCGAGTTCTCCACGTCAAGCGCTGCGTCCAGGTGCACCTTTTGTTGAGAACGTTGCGATGTGACTGCAGTATGAATTGGGATGGTTGTAGATCACAGACCGAAGTCTGGCCGCGATCGGGGCACACTGCCGCCACCTTCGCTCGATTAACTTGTGTGGGTGTGGGCGCGTCACGACGGATGGCATGGCATCGTTAGTCCGTGGAGCATCGCAGTTGCAAGCCATTGACGTTCAGGGATGCAACTTGTTGACCGAGGAATTCCTGTGCGTCGTGGCCACACATCTGCCTGCCCTTCAGCTCCTCAACGTGAACGGGTGCCAACAAATCACAGACAATGGGGTCCGCACCCTGGTCGAGCACTTGCCGTACGTGATGTCGGCGACGCAATTTCGAGGGTTGGAGCCCGTGGCCAACGCCATCAGCCTCAAGTTCGCCACGCACCAGAAAACGATCTCGCATTCCGCCGCGATTCGACTGCAGGCATGGTACAGAGGCCACCTCGGTCGAGTCGAAGCCGCGTCCTGGCGTCGCATGCAGGTCGAAGTGCCCGCGGCCAACCGCCTGAAACATTGGTTCACGATGGTGCAACTTGTGCAAGAAGTGAATCGCCGGGCAGCCGCTTCATCCCACGCGCGACGAAGCGCCACGATGATCCAAGCCCTTGCCCGCGGCTTCCTCGTCCGAGCTCGGGCATATCGAGAGGCGGACAACTTGTTTCGCTTGAACGTAAGCGATCTCGTTGTTTGGATTCCTTTCCAGCGCTGTGTAGGTAGGGAACATTGCCGCGACGAAAATCCAGACGAGGTATCGTGGCCACTTCGTCCGGCATGGCACGACGATGGTCAACCAAGCCCTTCACCGGATGCGGCTTCGCATCGCAGAGCAACGGCGGGTTCGTTGTGTCACCAGGGTGCAGCGATCGTACCGCGCGCGGCTAAACCGGTGTCGACTTGTCGAGGTGATTCACGTGAATTCGCTTCGACGTCGGCAATGCCACGACGCAGCATCCACGCTGCAGCGCATGTACCGAAGTCGTGCCGCGCGGGCTCAAACGGCAGCCCTTCGCCGAGCCATGGAAGACCATCGAGCATGGAAGCGCCATCAAGTTCGTGTTGCGGTAAAACTTCAGTCGAACTGGCGGCGACACGCCGCGAGACGCACGATCGAAGCTGCGCGCACTGCCCATGCCGTGCGGGTTGCCCAACGCCATGCGGGAGCCACCGCGATGCAGCGTGTAGGGCGGGGGTGGCTAGGGCGAAAGCACGCGCTCATTCGACGAACGGAATGGATGGCTCAATCGGCTGCAGCAAAGCGACTACAGCGGTGGTGGCGGCGGTGCCTGGCGCCGCGGACCAACACTGTCGCGTATCAATCCTTGGTCGCGCAAATCAAGCTCCAGTTGGTATCGGAAGCCGCCGAAGCCGAAGCGAAGAAGGAGGTGCGGCACATCCCGAGCGCTGTCAATATTGATCGTGGCGCTTGCTTTGTAGGCAATGCTGCAGAAAGAGCGCCGAAAGCACGCAATGGACTCGGCGTCCGAGGCCGACAGCGAAGACGACTGGTACGCATATCCTGGAACCAATGGTCAACCGTGGTGGTTCTCGCCGTCGCGGGACGTCCGCCAGATCGTGCGACCCAATTGCTTTGCCATTGCCAAGGCCATGGTCGGACTTGGCGTGCGTGTGTACTGGCCGTTTGAGGACACGTGGTTCGAAGGGCGCCTCGTTAAGTTTTGCACGTCCAAAAACAAGCACAAGATCGAGTATCTCGACGGAGATAAGGAATGGAGCGTGCTGAACGAGGTCGACGTCGGGCACCTCCAGCTCTTCCACCACGATTGCTGGCTCATGTACGAGAACTACGTCGCGTCCGATCGTGCCAAGAAGGCGGCGCTGTACGTGAACACACGCGTTCAGCGGTATGACGTTACGACGTTTGCGTGGAAGAGTAGCAAAGTGCGGTGGTTTGATGACTCGACGGGTCTTTTTTGCGTCGAGAACGACGACAATGGCGAGATGGAGGCGGTCGATATGCTCGGAAACGAAGACGATTTTCAAGTCCAGGACCGCCGGTCCCTCGAGTGGATGAGCCCTGGCGCGTACTTTTTCGGACCGGCGTATGCAGCTATGCGTGTGCAAGATTACTTTGAGTACACTGGCCCGTACGAAGAGCCGATGCCAACGGCTGTTACCGGCGCTGCCGATGGCGACGTTGGTGATGGGCAGAACCATGGGTGGAATGATGACCAGACTGAGGCCGTGGCGTATGGAGAATGGGCGCAGGATGGTGCATCTGGCGAATGGGTCGTTGAAAATCAAGATTACCTGTGGGGTGGTGGTGAAGAACTTGGAGAAGGTAGCAAGCTCATTGATGTCAGCTACGTGCAGAACGAGTACGACGGCGGCAATGACGCCGATGTCGAAGCGTCCGAAGACGGCGATGACGGTGAAGAAGGTGATGAAGATGATGAAGGCGGCGATCAGTATACAGATGACGGCGACAACGACAGCGGCAACGACGATGAGGACGATGACGCGAATGGTGCAGAGGGAGAATAGGATGAAGAGGAGTAGAAATGAGCGTTGGCTTGGCATGCCACCTCTTTTAGAAGTCACAACACCGACCTTTCTTTTCCCAGTCGCCGAACCGCGTTGGCTCCTTGTACTTGCCGCCGCGCTGGGGACCTCCCCATTCTGTGCCAGCAGGGCCAATCATGACCATGTCTTCCATGTCTTCTTCGTCGTCATCTTCGTCCAGCACTGTTTCCACAATGATGGAGCGAGCGTGTGGCTTGTCGTGCTCTGGAACGAACGGCTTTGAGCTCATCCTCATGGCCGGAACTGCAGCGCCGCGGCGGCGGAGTGAGGTGCACACCAGTCGGGCGAACATGGGAACGCAATTTGAAAAATGGACCAATTATACGCCGATATTTCGATTAAAGACGAGTGATTGGATTATTTATAGCCAATTAAGGTAAAGATGTGGAGGACTTTATTCCAGGAAAAGCAGCAACGCGATGCAGAAGAGAAGGACGACCGACGCCGACGCGACAGGAATCCCTGATGCCTTGGACAGTGAACTCGTCGGCTTTGGTACCAGTCCCATGCGGATCGCGAGGGCATCCACGTCTTGTGTATACGAGTAGGTGTTCTGGAACTCGTCTTGGACAACAATGCCAAACTCAGCTGTCCCACCGACAAGAGCGGGCGTTGTGATGTTCAAATCTTGGGATAATCGCGTTGCCGTGAACGTCCACGATGGTGGCAAGTCCTTGAATCGCGTCCCCAACGATTCCAGGTCGTTGATGTCTTCGGTCGAATTGGCTTTGTTGGATTGCATGATGAAGGTGTCACCGGATGTAGTATTGGTCAGCAAAAGCACCATCGACCCAGCGCGCCAGATCCATTGGGCATTCCGCTTCACCATCGACATCGTGTAGCTTGTCGGGGCAATCGGCATCTTAGGAATGGTAACTCGACCCGCGAGCGACATCCCGATTCCACCGACATACTTGACGACGCGCTGTTTGACGACTGGCGATGTCAGTGGGCCGAACTCGTCCATTCGCCAGTACCGAGGGCCATTGAGGACGACGGCGATGGTGTTCGGGTCGCTCTTGGCGTTCTCTGGAGTAATTGCATTCCATAAGGGCTCGGGGCAGTCGTTGAGGCCGAATGTGTTGAACACATCGGCAGTGAACGACCCGTTCTCCGTCGACACGTAGAGAATCTCGCAGTACCGCTTGTTGAGGACGAGTGTGGTATTCGCGCCGAGCCCATTGACGTTTGCCGCAAGCAGCAGCGCAGCAACCACAACCGAGTGCAGCATGATGGAAATGCGGAAATGTGAGGTTTCAGAGATTGGAGATCATTCATTCGACAATTTCGCCAACGCAATTATGGAAATTTCCATCGATCGATCCTCGATGAAGCGGCAGCCCGGCAATAGCCAGACCACCATCGGCTCCATTGACTTCGACTTGGTGATGAGATCATGCAGGCGGACATCGCGCCATGCAGGCGATGTGTGTGGCTTGGACACATTGCCACGTACCAAAGAACATCAACGAATCGGTTGTTGTGTCGAATGTGGATGGAGCGGCCCACAGGAGTCCGTGCGTGCAGATGCATTCGATATGAATAGACCATAAGGCGAGTCTAGTGGCGCATGGAGCGAAAGGACTCGATTCCATCGCAATGCCGCGGGTGGTGTCGCTCCACGACGGAGTACGCACGTAGTACGCGTGAACCCCACGGCGCTTTCGGTTGAATTTCATCCGGATACAGCAGGCTTCTTCGGAAGGTATCTTGAGATTTGTAGGGATCATCCGGATACAACGGAGATTCGACGGGCATATATTTGCAAGAGGCCGGCCCTGCACGAGATTTTGGGGTTAAGAGTCGCGAAGGCACCCGCAGCGATGTCGTCGGTGTGCATGCCGCCGAAGCCGATGACCATTACCACATCCACAGGTATGAGCATGTCGTACGCGTGTGAAGGCAGCGACGATGACATTGGCTGTAGACGCGTCCACACCAATATCGACACCGACGCTATTGCCCAGCTCAGGGATGACAATCCCGAGTCCGTACATGCTCAGTGCTCGCAAGACGTCGAGTAGTTTTTCCGATCTCGGCGACTATGATGAGTGCTCAGATATTGGAACACCAGAGAAGCCTGGTATGTTCAAGCCCCCACCGATCCACGAAGAAACGATGGACACAACGTTCCGCTTGAACAACCCCGTCGACGACTCCAGGAGTGTTGCCGACAGCGGCATCACGTTCCTGGCAGGTGAAGTCCTCAAGCTTCGCGTCGATAAAGTTGCGTACATTGTGTTTTACAAACATGATGTGCCCACACCTCAAATCAACTCCGACGAGTCGTCATCGTCACTCGACCCTGCCGACTCGACAACGTTGTCATCACCGCCGCATGTGGACTTGGCAGCTTCCATGAGCACCAACGACAGCTCCACAGGTTGGAGTCGACAGTGTATTTTACCATTTTTGGCATGCTTCACCAACTCGATTCATTCCTAGGCGTGACGGCGCCACCAAAATCGTTTGGCGCGATGGGTGCCGCCGGGCACAAAGTTCTCACAACTGATTGCTTCCAGCGGTACACATCGAGCACGCGAGGTGGGACCCTTGGACGGGGCCTCTTTCGTGCGTCCACACACGTCGGCAGTGCACTGGTGAAAGGCACGTCCACCCTCATCAACCAAACCTACGAAGGCGGCGCGCGCGGTGGCGTATTTGGATTTGCCAAGGGCTTGGGACTTGGTGTGTGGGGATTCGGCAGCCACACCGTCAAAGGAGCGTTTCGCTCCATGGGACACATGACCAATGTCGTCGGCGAAATGGTCCTTGGAATGGATCCGCACTTCAGCCTCGACGGGAAGCTCATCATGACCAACTACCGCCTCGTGTGGACGTCGACAGCCGGGGACATGCTGGACATTCCGCTGGCGTCAATTGTGAACATGGAGACCGCAGTGACGGCATCGCACGTCCTCTTGATCGAATGCAAGCACCTCCTCCGGCCCAAATTTGCCTTTCCAGACGACGATACCGCCGCAAGAGTGATTGATGCCGCATTAGCCATGTATGCATGCGGATCGTACACATTTTCAACCGTCCATTTCGAAGCGATTCGGTCAGGGTCTTGCCTGGAGGACGTGGATGGCCAGGAAGCGTCCAGCGTCGACATGTACGACCCGATCGCGGACTACACACGACTGGGTTTGATTGACGACGGCGACGGTGGTCTGTGGCAGCTTGTGGACAACCACGAGTTCTTGTTGTTCCCGACGTATCCGCACACGTTTGTGGTGCCAAAAGGAATGACCTCGGAGGACTTGGTCGAGTTGAGTGCCTACCGCAGCGCCGCGCGAATCCCTGCGGTCGTATGGCGCCATCCGTACACGGGCGCGACGGTGTGCCGATGTGCACAACCGCGAGCAGGTCTCTCAGGATTTGCCTCAGAAGCCGACAAAAAAATCGTCCGGCTGCTCACGACCGGGTCGACCTTTTACTTCTTCGACGCCCGATCCCAAATGGCGGCTGCGGGCAACGTCGCTCATGGCAAAGGCACCGAGGACGTGCGGAATTACCCCAACACGGAGCTCCGTCACTGCGATATTGTCAATATCCATGGCGTTCGATCCTCGTACGCCGCGTTGGCGGCGGTGTGCCAGCCCAATGCCCACGGCACCCCCGTGGACCCAGACGCATTGTCAAGGACGCTGTGGTTGCAGTACTTGTCGAGCATCTTGTTCACGGCGAGTGCGGTGTCCCAGCTCCTGTGTGGTGGCGAGTCCGTCATGGTGCACTGCAGCGACGGCTGGGATCGGACGTCTCAAGTTGCGGGGCTGCTCGAGGTCATGCTGGATCCGGACTATCGCACGATACGAGGGTTCCTCGAGCTTGTGGACAAGGAGTGGTGCTCCTTCGGTCACATGTTTCGATGGAGAACCGGAGCGGGCGATTCGCCCAACGCCCAAGAGGTCGAGGAGCAATCACCCGTGTTTGTGCAATGGCTTGACGCGATGTGGCAAGTGTGGCGCCAAGTGCCATGGGCGTTTGAGTTTTCGGACGAGCTGCTCGCGACCGTGTACAGTCATGTGTATTCGGGTCTGTTTGGAACATTCAAATACAACTCGGAGCGGGAAAAGTGGACAAAAGAAGCCCAGACGCCGACGCGATCGCTGTGGCGGTATTTGCTCAGTCGCCAGCACGAGTTTGTCAACATTCAGTACAACGCTGCCCGGAGCTTGGCGCTGCGTGGTAGGCCGTTGCCAGTTCTTGCGCTCGAGTCGGACTTGTTGTTGTGGGATGCGCACATTGCGTGTGCAGACCCGATATGCCGAAAGTACACGTGAACGACCACGGCAAAGCTAGATTGTAGGTAGACGTAGTTTAGGTTAGGCTAGGAGGGAATGCACCATGTCGCAAAAGCCGTCGTCGAACATGTTGTCGGCAATAAGGCGGCTATCACGAGGACATGAAATGATAAGAGCTCTAAACGTTTCAACGTGGGTCGTACTTGACGTCTGAGATTGTAAACGGCTTGGCAAGCGGTATTGTGTTATCGATGGAGTTGGAAATGGAGTCGACAGATCGAGGTACCTTTCCAAATCCGGAAGCTGCCTCGCACTGCTGTTCTTGTCGTATTGGGACGAGTGAAGTAGTTGAAGCTTGAAATGCACTGGCAGGTTGATAAGGTTGCGATGGACAAAGCCGGGAGGAACGGTTGACTTGATTCGTGATCTTTTTTGTTTTCTTGAAAGGTTTGTTGTCCACCCCACACTCCACGTGTCGACGGATGCCTTGTATCGATCCAGGCGTTCTTCTGTGATGTGGACATTCGTCTTCGGGAATGTCATGTGGCTTTATCGTCTCCACAGGAACTGTCGGCGCAGAATGAAGCAGCATAGTTGTTTGGGGGATATCACACGTAGTGTCGTGCATTTGAATGGATGGGATGGAGAGTGCTTTAATATTGGTTGCTGAGTTTACGACTGGATTGATCAGCACTTCTGGCTACGATTAAAATGGGATCCGTAGCAATGGTAAATATATACATACCTCAATGTGATGCACGATTGCGCTTGGGACGGAAGCTGGCACAACCATGGCGTTAAGCAAGTTGAAATTTGGAAAACTGGAATCACACGGTGACGAGAGGTTGCCGTCTGTGTCGACAATGTCATGGAAAAATTCATCGCATGCCTCTAACTCTTGCTGGATTAGGAGCTCTATGCAACATGTTTGAGCGTTGAATTCTGCATTCATCTTACCTCTGTTGCTCGGTGGATTTGGGATTACATGAGAGGGGTCAGGCACAACTTGGTCATTTTGCGCCTTGTCCACATGCTGAAGCCGTTCATGATCCTGCCTTACCCGCAAATTGCTATGAAATAGACCCGTCAAAGGCGTCTCTCGGCCGCTCTTCGCAGCATCTACGCATTCACCCTCTCATCCTCGTGTTTCAAGGGGAGATAGTACATTTAACGGCTTTCTGCAACATCTTCTTGCCGTAAGTTCGCTCAATCTAGCAAGTCCTGCTAGTCAGAATTCCCCACCATAGCAAGCGCCTATCGTTATGTTGGCCATTCCATTGTCCATTCCCCTCGTAGCGCGAGTTCTCGCACGTGCTTCTTCTTCGCGCCGACATCTCCCATCGCTCGAGCGCGCCAAATCTTGAATGTTCAAATGTCGCAGAATGACAAACATGATTTTTCATCTATTTCCAAGCAATTTGTTGTCACCTAGACTAATTTAGGAATACTCTACAATTTTATACAAATCCAACCATTTATTCAACATTTTCCCTCAGTGCCAACGAATACTTTTGTTAATTGTTGTAATTCATTATAATTGCAGGACAAAAAATTGCTTTTCTATTGGAGCATAAACACGCACGAATAAATCGATTGGATAGATATTGACAACGATCCGTCCAAAGCATCAGTATGCCGGAATCTGCTGCGCCATTGTCTCCGATCGGTCAAGGCGATGCCAAGCGATTAAAGTCTTTCGACAGCGGTGTGCCGATCGAGTACCATGTCATTCTCTTCTACAAGTACGTGGAGGTGCCTGACCCGACCGCCGAAAAGACGGCCCAGCATGACAAGTGTGTGGAGCTGGGTCTGCTCGGCCGTTCGCTCGTGAGCGAAGAAGGCATCAACGCGACGTTTGCCGGGTCGTTGGAAGACATCAACAAATACGTCGAGTACATGTGCGCCCATCCTGTGTTCTCGATGACGACAGAGGATTTCAAGCGCAGCATGGTCGTGTCAACTCCACCGTTCAGCGAACTCGTCATCAAGTACGTCAAGGAAATCGTGAGCACGGGCGGAGCCGTTGCCCCGCCTCCTGTCACGATGACAGATGAGGAGCGAGGGTACTTGACGCCGCAGCAATTCCACGCCGCGATGGCTGCGAAGGATGCCAACACAGTACGGGATTTCGTCGACTGCGTCTGCACTTGTACATACGACCGTGTCTGCATAGGTTGTGCTCGACGTCCGCGCTCATAAAGAATTCCTTGTCGGCCACTTTCAGGACGCATTGGATCCCCAGGTGAAGAACTTTTCCGAGTATTATACATTCCTGGACCACCACATCCCGAAATTCAAAGAGAACAAGCCCAAGGTCCTCATGTACTGCACGGGCGGCATCCGCTGTGAGAAGGCGTCGCAGTTTCTGCGCAGCCGCGGTGTCACGGATGTGCATCATTTGAAGGGTGGTATCCACAAGTACTTGGAGCAGTTTCCTGACGGTGGGTTCTTCAAGGGCAAGAACTTTATCTTTGACAAGCGGTTCGTGTTCATTCGTTTGCTCCTACCTCGTCTGATGGCTCCAGTAGAGTCCTCATGGGCCCCGAACAAAGCGACGTCGTCGGGACGTGCATTGAATGCAAGGCGTCGTACGATACCTTCAACGGTGGCAAAGTGTGCTCGGTGTGCCGCGATTTGCTGCTGGTGTGCGACTCGTGCTACGCCGCGCGCCACGGCGAAGTCCACTGCGGCGACCACCAATACCTGAAGAACTGCTACTTTACCTTTATCCAGTACTTTACGGCGGCTGAACTGGAGGCCCAAGTGGCGGGCCTTGAACAAGTGTACACGGCACTTCTAGACGAACCCGACCTGGCCAAGCGGAGTAAGAACAAACGTCGCACCGTTCGCAAGCAAATCGAAAAGGTCAAAGCGCGTTTGGAAGCTGTTCAAGCCGACCCGGCCGTCGTCGAGACGCGTCGAGGATTCCACTGCCGCACGTGTGGCAGTACGTCGTGCACGGGCAACTGCTGGGGGTTTTGGAACGAAGTGCAATAGAAAGAGCTCAATCCAGGGCACATTCCAGCTATATCTCCAACCAGAAGATTTGGGTCGGTTCAACTCGACTTTGGCCGAGAACTTTTCATTGTCGGTGCTGCTGCTACAAACTTTTTTTATCAGTGGTGTGCACCGTTTCGTGACAGCAGTGTGCCATGAAGGGGGATATGGTTCTTCATGGTGGCGGTCCAAACAGCAAATAGTGCATTGCGTTTACTTCGTATTCGATTGTGGGGGAACGTGTTGAAGGAAGCGCTGCGGCGCCGAGCGTTGGAGACAAGGATGAATGATGCACGGGGGGTTTCGCAGGGGATGTCGGGAAATGGGAAGGGCTCATGGGAGGCGAAGTCACTCGAAGATCGTTGCCGAAGAAGTGCGGTGATGGCGCGTTCGCTTGAGGGGCGGTGGTGGAGTATTCTTTCACGCTTGATCGGTGCTTCAAATGCATATTGGACGTCAACGGACTGGTGGGGCTGCTAAATGTTGGACTCATGGGAGGGCTGAACAATGGAGTGGTGGGTGCCGCCATGGGCACGGAGATCGGAGGCGAAAGAAAAGGGGAGGGTGGTTGGGTTGGAGCAATAGTTTCGAAATCATTTTGAGAAGGCGCAGTAGCCTCTGGCACATAGCTCGAGGGCGCCGTCGCCGCTGTCGCGGAGTCATGCTGGCGCGATTGTTGCGAATGCGGAACGGATGGCTCCGAGACAGGTAATGATGCTTGAACCTGCGACACGGATGGCTCCAAGACTGGTGATGATGCTTGAACCTGCGGCTGCGGTGGAAGTGGGCTTTGCGCGGTTGCGGCTGGCTGGGTCTCCGTTGTCGATGCTGGCACAAGCGAATCCTGTGTAGTTGATGTGTTGATAGTTTGTATAGACGGTATTTCGCCCTGGATTGGAATACTACTCGATGAGGCTGGCTGCAGTCCAACGCTTGAGGGAAAGTCGCCTTTGGTCGTGGTGGGAACGTCATGAGCTGCCGTGTTTGCTGGCGATTGTTGTTGCGACGGCTGAAGTTGGATTTGTCTACCATCACCGCTTGGAATGACTGATGCTGAGTCCGGAAGGGGACGATCCGAGCCTGCCTGGGGTTCCAAGGCAACCAAATTTGCTGGCTTCTCGAGTATTCCCAGTTCTGTCGACCCCATCTTTGTAGCAGTCCCAGGTGCACCCACGCCGCCCTTTGTCTGGATTTCGTCAGTGCTTCCGCTGGTCTTGACTGGAACTTGGGCATTCAGCTGTGCTATTGGACTGGCACTGTTTGCATTGGCTAGCGAAGCAGGAGCAGTTGGTTCATCAACTGGCATGGTGCTTTCGTCCCCGGCATGATGGTCAAACTCGAGCTCGTCTTCAAGGTTTTCCGTGCCGTGATCGACTTCGTGATTGTTAATCTCGCGTGTGGAGTCAGTGTTTGTACCGAAGCCTCCTTTCTCCATGTCTGTGGCGACGGGAATTCCTGAGACGTCGTCCATGTCATCGTGGCTCCACTGGGATGGCAGCGGAGCCACCGGGGGTGTCAAGCGTTCTTGTTTACTTGGAAGCTTCTTGCACTTCTCGCCGCGGAGATGTCGACTTTGTGTGAGTAGGTCTGCTTGGCCACGCATTTCAGGCTTTGCATTATTTTCTGGGTTGGTTGGCCCTTTCTTAGCTTGAAGGAATTGTGGAGGAGACTGACGAGCTTGCGAGGGTTGTCGTGATTGACGCGCGTCGTCTTTGAATTCGGGAAGGCTTTCTGTGGTGTCGGGTACATCGTCCAAGCGTTCGTCGGCAGGGCTCCCTTCAGCCATGTACTGCAGCAAATGCAGTGTCGTCGCGGGTTTCAACTCCATCTGCAGTTTGCATTCTGCGTCAATGTGCCCTTTGGCATGTTGCGGTATTTGTTTCGTTTCGATGCTTTTGGACAGCTCCTCTTCAAAGGGCAACGTGGCACGCGGCGGAGGCATATCCACGGGTGCAACAAGTGGCAAGTCGTCCGAGTCGGTCGCGGCGTCCGTTTTCGTCTTTTGTGGAGGCATGACCTTTGGGATGTCTATCGGTGGCGGGCGTGGGGACTGCTTGAGTGGTGGCGACGGCAACTTTTCTTGTTGTGGCTGAGGCGACAGTGGAGGATTCGCGAGTTTCTCGTTCTCGCGGTCTGTCTGGCTAAGTTGTTGTCGGTATTTCAAGCGAAGATAAATCTTTTGCATATCGTTGGCGAGACGCTTAATGGCCGCGACATCGGTCGCAACAGAATTGGCCTTGATGAGATCGCTCTCTGTTTGAGCTTGATTGTCCCCGTCGTCATCGCCGTCGTCGTCACTGCTTTCATCGGCACTGCTGCTGTCTACAGCTGACGACTCGGAAACGTCATCGCTGCCGCTGCTCTCACCACTGCTCGCCACGTCGCTTTCGTCCTCGGCTGCGCTCATCTCTGGCTGTTTTTCGAACAAACCTTACGTTCCTACGTATGGGGCAACAGTTACAAGCCAACTTTTCAGTCTCGCCATGAATCTATCTCTGTGTCATCCTCGTTCGAGCTCGTCCTCAATTGTACATTCTTCTTCCGTTGCCGTCATCCACCTACCCACGTCGAGTTGCGGTCGCCGCGGCAGTGTTGCCCCCTCCATCGACAATTTCCTTTGGCTCCTCCCACAAGATTTGCCCGTTATATTAATATCGAATAAATAATGATTGTGTACTAGTAGTACTAGCAACGTCAACATAAGATTCATATTCCATGGGAAGAGAATTCTGTATCATATTACGGCTACTAATAAGTCTAGTAGTACTAGTAGTCCATGCGAATTTTGTAACGGCAATTTCGAAAGTCGCAAGCCGTCGAACAAGAACTGGCAGATCTTCGACGTGCGACCCCCACAGACGACGCCACAGCGCAACACGCGACCAAAGCCACACGAAACATGATTTACGTTGGTGATGCTGGCCGCGTCGGCGACGGAGTGAACGGCCATCACGTGTATCCAGTGCGGTGCAGTCTCTTTGGCCCGTCCATCACAGAAGTCGACCGTCGGTACTCGGACTTTGCCTGGCTCCACGCGCAACTCGCCAAAACGTGCCCTGGGTGCATTTTACCCCCGCTCCCAGGCAAAGTTGTTGGCTTGTTGCACTCACGAGAGTTCCTTGAAGCCCGCCGAATTGGGTTGCAAAAGTTTCTAACTAACGTGGCCGCCCATGAAGTGCTCAAGCACGCGTCGTGCTTTCAGCAATTTTTCCAGGCATCAACGGTTGAATTGTCGGCGCTCAAGGCAAAGGCTAAGGTGGTCAGCGACCCCAAGCAGGCGTTGACCAATTGGTTCGGCAAAACTGTTCAAAAGTTCTCCGAGCACGATAAGGTCCAATCTCTGGCGGCCCGCGCCACCGGTCGCGACGTCGTGACCAGGCCCAAGTCGGACCAGGACCTCGCGTTTGACCAAATCGCTGGGTATGTTGCCATGCTCGACACCCACGCAAAGACGTTGCAGCAAAAGGTTCTTGCTGCGTACCGTGCCAACCGCGCGACGTCGGCTGCCTACTGCGACGTGATTGAAGCAACCTCCGAATTGGCGGAGCTTGAGTCCTCGTTGCCAGAAATGAAATCTGTGGGCTTTCAATCTGTCATGGAGATTGTGGACACGCGAGCGAGGCAGCTCGATTCGGACTGGGCAATGCTCACCGACGCAGTCGACGACTTTTCCCGTTGGATCACGAGTGTCCAAGCAGCGCTTGCCACCCGCGAGGACCGTCGGTTCGCCTACCAGGCGCAACTTGCCGCCGCTGCCAAACTGAGTGGCTGCCCAGAATCGTCCGACTCGCCGGACAAGCAACGCTCGAGCTTCACGTCGTTCCTTGGCCAGTCGTCGTCGCAGACGAATCTGCACGTTGCCGTCCAAGAAGCCAAAGCTGAATTCGACGCCGTCCACGATCGCGTGATGAGCGAAGTCGTCAAGTTTCGAGAGGAGAAGGCCAGCGTTCTCAAAGTTATGTTTCTCCAATTTGCGAGTCTGCAACTCGACCACGCAACGGAATTTTCCGAAACCCTGCACCGCGTCGTGCCAAAGCTCAAGGACACATCGCCGACGCCCGTGGCCAAGGACGACATCAAGGCTGTATACAAGTCTAGTGAGCCACACCTGCACTACCAAGACTTTCACGAGCTGTCGAACCAACCGACAAAGGTGCAGCGGAAGCACAGCATCACGTCCGACCAAGACGCCGTCGTCAACCCGTACGCCGACGTGTCGTTGTAATCACGTGGTATTCCAATACAGTTCGTCTCGAACCGCGGCACACCAACCGCACGTTGGATTCAGTCCAGGTTAGCTTGCCCATGCAAGTTGCACTTTTGTGCACATCGAGATAAGGCATCGCTCCCGATGGAGATTTCGATACGTTCAAGGGGTGAGACAGGATGCCGAATAGCATCATGTCTCAACGAAGCGTCGATTGGTTGTAGCAGAGGGTGCGCATCTTCCGTCGCCGTCAGCAGACATCGAACGACGAGGTGGAAGCACAAGGTCGCCCGTTGGTAAAACATTTGGTACACTTTGTGCCACGGGCGCGTCTGGGCGTTGGTAGATATCGACTCACTTTGGTCCGTGATGGCACCTCCGAAATGACTCAAGCGCGAGCATCTGTGGCACTTTGCATGCTGAATGGAACAGTCCGCCGGACGCATGCCGATGCCGTACATCATGGCCCTTGGGGAATTTGCATCGTGTTCGCCGTGCCGACTGGCACTGCACGTCGCAGCAGGTGGACCGTGGCGTTGCAAGTGGCGCGACGAACGAATTGCACCTTTCATCGCATGGCAGTGGTTGAAGGTATCGAATCCCTGTAGACGGTCGCTCTGGTTGGCACGGTGTCGTTCATGTACCGCGCCTGCTGGAGTCCCATCCACGGGCTGTGGGCAGCATGCGTCGAGTGAGCGAGTGCAAGTTTGAATATGCATGTCGGCAAGAATGGCTTGAAGTCCCCTTGTGCGACACGGACCTTCACAGACGCACTCGTCACCGTATCACATGTACCGAGTGTGGCGACGGGCGATGGAATTGCCGCATCCCAGGGGATTCTCGCGTGGGTTGGTGGCTGGGAGGTCCACCCGGGCGACAAGGACTGAATCTTCCTGACCGTGGCGCAGTGTGTTTTTTGCCGACGCTGCAATGTGAAACCAAGATCATCTCGCGAGGGCAGACGTGCGACCAAAACGAAACACGAACTGGCGACCGTCGCTGCGTGGCTGCACGCATATCGTTCCGAGTGTGAGGCAGTTGTATGCCGTGCTTGCGTGTCATGGAGCTCACATCGTGTGAGTTCGAACGTCCTGAAGGCCAAGTGACGAGTTCGAAACACAAACGATGATTCGTGTCGAGCGGATCTTGCCATGGACTGTGCCTTGGGTGTCGGCCATGGCGTCGTCAAGATGGCATCGAACGTCCCATGGCATCGGCGACGTCGATTGACGCTGCACCATGTTTCTGAAAGAGTGTGCATCGAGCCGCGTTTGGCTTTAGCATTCCCACACGGGAGGAAAAACGTCGTCCAAGACAAGCCGTCCGGTCGAAGGAGGGGGGGTGTTGGTAAGTAGACTGAACAATACAACATGGGTGCGATCGGACGTCCACAGGTTAGAGGAGCCACTGCGATTTGGTTCCGCCCGAGTGAATTCGAAGTTTCGAGGCAGGGGAGCTCGTGGCGCACCGTTTCGTATTGAGTTGGCAAATGGCCGTTGGATGGGCTGTTCTGCAAATGGACATGGCGCTGTGGTGGATGTCCAAGCACTGAAGCAAACTCACGCGAAGGTGTTCGATGGGGACGTCGTCGCTGTCGTAGCCCACGACAAAGCAGTCGGCGCTGCGGTGGCTGAACATGGGCATGTGCCGAAACATGGCGTCGAGGTCGTACAACGCGTACACCGACCCGCCGCGCGTTCGATCCGACCTGCTCGACTGCACCAACGACAGCACGATGCGCTGGTTCAGATCGTTGTACTCCATCGAGCTGTAGCGCCGTAGTCGCTCGTCCATGTTGGTTTCGTGCTTTGTTCGAGACGACGGCATGAATGCTTCACCACCAGATTAGGTAGACGAAGCATGGCAGAGGCAGGTGGTTGTCGCACCTGCAACGAGGGCCTGCGATGCCTTGACGCACGCCACAAGCACGACAGGCATAAATCCAATGATCGTGGTCAGGGCGACAATGGCTATGTTTGGGTTGGATGAGCGAGTCCACGTCGTCGGTTGGTGTCATCGTACCTGGGAAAATCTCCGTGGCGTCGTCACCATCTCGAACCCCAATCGACCACAATGCGTACTGAAGCCACACGAGAGACGTCCTTGCATTGATGTACAAGAGCGGTCCCGACAGCACAGTCGCGCCGATCGCGATGGCGGTCGGGTCGAGCGGGACCACCCATCGGCTGATGCGCCACCACTTGATGGCCACCGTCGTATACCGCATCGAAAAGTACGCAAACCAGACCTACGCAAAGGCCGTTGGGCGTCGTGCAGGGTCATCCAATTTGTCGTACGGTGCGCGACGCATACAGGCAACCCTTCATAAACAACACCACGTCGTCGAGTTGGCTCAGCTGGAGCACCACTTCGCCCACAGACGTCACGCTCATCCAAACGTCGACCACGAAGCACGTCGACACGATCGGGTTCCCAAGCGTCAAGCAGGTCGGGTCGCCAATGTACACCTCGATTCGATGGATCGGCGACACGGGATCTGGAATCCCGAATGCCCGAATGTCGCGAGCGAGGGCGCGGCAGTGGCTATAGTACTGCACGCGCACCTCCCACGCGACGTACGCTGTGAGGAGACAACGTAGGGCAAGCTTGATCCAGAGGAACCAGACTTGTTCCCACTGATACAGCGACTGAAACACTACAAGGGTCGGGCCGTGTTGGGGATATACCCACACGCATTGCTCCGTGATGGTGATTCCAAAATGCCGCATGTGCTGGCACTGGGCCATCGACCGAACCGTGTCGGTACTGTTGACGAGGCGGCAGATTGCGTTTCGAATGCCCGGCCCATAAAAGATTGCACCTGCGTTCGTTGGGGAGTTGCGACGACGTTGTGTGCACAGCGTGTACCTGGCATCAACGGCAACATGCTGTCGCAAGTCGCGTCATGGGGGAATCGGATCGCTTGTCGCATCACGGTGGTGTAATTCGCCTGGTCTTTGAAGATCGTGGCTTTGGCTGGCAGCGTCGCGTCATTGTAAAGCGCCTGCATGCGCTGGAGCACCATCCACGAGCTGTTCGCAGCATACGTTGTGCCATTCCACTCGACCGGCTGTGTTCGTCCCGCCCACGGCAGCGTCTCGGTGACGTATGCTCGGAGAGGCTACGTAAGGACTCACAGTGACGACATCGTTCGGTAAAGGCCGTCCTACGTACCATCGAGATCATGTTGAGCGCAATGACGAAGCTAAGCGCCGCCATCGGGCGGTTCCACTCGACCCGCCGCATCTTCGTTGTCGACTCGGGGCTCTGCGCTACATGAACCTTCGTCATGACATGTATCGACTGGGTCGGGCAATGGCTCGTTACATGGATGGACAGCAAGAATAGCGA